TCTTAAACTTATTTTTCTTAAAACATAGAACAGTAAATACAGAAGTAAAGCAAACAATTATCTCTTCTAGCTATGCCTTAAGAAATTTTGCACATAGAGGATGTGAAATGAAATAACTTTTTTAGGTTTTATATATACATTTGAAATAATCAAAAAATCATAAATTACTATATCAATACCATACATTGCAGTCTTTGATCAAACTCTTTGCATCGAGTGTTAACAGGATTCTTTCTTGGCTCACAAATACTGCTTTAAAGAGATATAATTTGATTAGCTAGAAATAATTAATATACCATAGTTTCTGTTTGACTATAAAGACAACACTAGAGACACTTGCCGAGATCCACTTTCTCTCCAGTAACATAATTAAAAGCAAGTTCTAGTTATGTTACATGTGGAGCTAAGCACATCTTGCATAAGCCTCTCAATAAACGACTTCTCACTGAGGTACCTCTACCTTTATATGAACACAATCTGACTACTGAGCCTCCAGATGTGCTAATTTGCACTAATTGTTTCAAAAAAAAAAAGAGTCCTTTAATGATTTTAAGCTGAAATTTTAACTCTAAAAGTTACAAAAAGTTCTTGGTCTACCTAACAGTGTATATATTAATATAATGACTTTTAGCTTTGAAGTATGGGTCATGTCCATTCAGTTAGAAAACTAATTACTGTGTTCTCATCTTACAAATCCAACTCTATCAGTGTTATCACAGAGAAACAATTCACACAACTAATCACAGCACACCAATACTTACAGAAACTATTCCAGGAACTTCACTATTGTGCAGCCGAAAGAGTAAAGTTCCACTGTGCCCATCAAAAAGATCAATGGACCGTTTATCTTCAGCACAGAACCCTTCATCTGGATACCTACCAACAACCACAATGTCTTCTAGTGGATGCCAACAAGCCTAGAAGAAGTGAAAACAAAACACTGCTAAGTATCCTTGAGTTGAAGCATAAATGTATCCAGTAATGTTAGATCAATGAGTAACAAACTTAACAATGAGTACCAATTTTTAATGGACAACAAGACATAATATTAAATACAAAAACTATCATCATAAAGTATATTATGAGAGATCTAGATCTTTTGTCCATATTAAATGTTACTGGCCTTACCTCTCTGGTTTGTATTTATTGCTATTGGCCCCACCTCTTTGGAATGTATTTGTTGGCACAGACTTCATCTATTTGGTCTGTATTTAGTGATGTTGGTCCCACCTCTTTGCATGTATTTTATAATAATGACTCCACATTTCTAGTTTTTGTTTACTGGAGGCTCAACATTTTTGGCCCATTATACTGGTATTGACTTTAGTTTTCTGGTCTATATTTACTTATCTTGACTCCACTTTTTTTACTTGTATCTACTGGTACTTGCTCCAGTTATTTGGCATGTTTACTGTTACTGACTATCATTGCAAACTCATAATCAAAGAGAATGCTGTAAAAGGTAGTACTTTTAGGTAATGAAAAACATTAAGAATGTTAATAATTTCAGATATTAATATATTTAGTAATAACGAATTGCTGCAACAAATCACATTTATAATAAAATTAATATTAAAATCCATTTGAATTCTTCATCTTTACATAACAATATAAATCAAAACAGATGATCACTGGAAACAGTGATCTTCTGGGATTAATTCTTAAGTCCATTTAAAATAGTTTCTCCTCTAGTTCTCCGATGAGTTTTAATATTCAATACTTCTTCAGGTGCAATCCTGTTTTTGGTAGCTCATAAATATGGAACTTTGTTTGGAGCTATATTTTTGAGTTAAATAGATACCTCATAAGCAGAGAACTTCATTAAGAGATTTTTTTGAGACACATAGCTATTTTCTCCTTGATGATGATGATGTTATGCTTCAATGCTTCATTCATCCTGAGTTCTTCTGAGATACACATGACCATCTTAGATTTCTGATGATGCTTAACACTTCATTGTTGTCAAGTTTGTCTTGGGGTACATGGCCATCGTAACTTTTTAGTGATGATCAAACTTTCATTACTCCCTAGCTTACTTCCCTAACATACACATAGGTTAGTAATTCTCTAAAGTTTCAATAATACCATTAACCCTTAAGTTATTCAGATTCACCAAACAATAGTAAAAATGACAAAGTCGGCCAGTGAAATGTTATCAAGGTACTAGATATTCATCATGATGTTTTCAAACTGCTAGATACTAAAGACAAGAGATATGCAGGCACGATGTTATGAAACTGCTAGATACTAAAGACAAGTGATGTGTAGGCATTATGATATTATCAGAATACTGGATACCCTTATAGGCACCATGATGTTACTGGAGTATTAAATGCATGATAAAACACTACTGGCTTGAAAGTTACATGTATATTCAATACTTTGTAAGATTTTAGACTTTATATAACTGCACTTTAAGTAATACAAGAAACATCCAACCACTTGTAACTTGAATTGATGAAAAAAGGAAGAAGGGAGGAACAAATTTTCCCCAACACGTTTTTTCTTTCTTACCTTTATGGGTGTTAAATGTTGGAACTGACGATGAGGGTGAGCAATAACCTGTTCTAGTTCCCAAAGTGGGCCAGAGTACACCCGTAATTGACTGTGTTGGTCAGTTGTTAAAAGAGAACTGCCATTGGCTAAGCTAAAGTATGCTGAAAGAACAAAACTCTTTAGAGCAATCATCTCCACACAAGGCATACTAAAAACTGTATTTAATTTAAAGAAGAACTGTGTTTCTTCCAAACAAAATATCATATTAAATGCTTTTGTTTTTCTTTTTACTACAAAAATTATAGAAGTTCTAGTGTAAAAATTTCAAAAAGAACATCAATTATAAAAAAAAACTCTATATCTTGTTTTAAGTGATAATTTACGTGTTTTTGTCAATTTTCCAATATACACACATCTAATCCTAGAGCTCCCAAACCCCTTGGACCAGCCATTAGACAGCTTTGGTATGAGAATATATAATAATAAAAGGGTGTGTATGTTAGCCTGTGACCACTATAGCTCCAAGAGAAAAGAAACTAGAAACCTGAAATTTTGCATGCATACTAAGTGGACCCTGATGGTGTGTAACTAGGTGCTATTACTTATCCATGTGCATGCATCTTTTTATGAGACAAGCTAGCAAAAAGCCACACAGAAAAGAACTGTGACCACCATAACTCCAAGAGCAAAGAAACTTGAAACTTTGTACCTATAATTAAGTGGACCCTAAGGGTGTGCACCTGGATATTATTACTTATCTTATCCACACATGTATGCATCTTTTTAATGAGGCAAGCTAGCTAAATACTACATAGAAAAGAAGTGGTTCCTTATATTACAATATACTAAGTGGCCCTTGAGGGTGTGCATCTGGATATTATTAGTTATCTTGTTTACGTGTATACACACATGCACATCTTTTTAATGAGGTAAGCTAGCAAAAAAATCACATAGAAAAGAAGTGTTTTATGTTTCTGTGAAATAAAAATGTTTAAAATATTTTTTCGACTGTTCTTCTCTGCTAAAATAGGTTCAGAATATACACACTGACATAGTCATCTACAATATATCAACCTAATAACCTGGGCAAGCCAGGTACTTTTGCTAGTTTCAAAATACAGGCAAAGATGACTATTCTCAATGGTCCCTTACACATCCGTGCCAATTTTCATGTACAAGAAAGCAACCAATCCCAAGATCCTTAAAAAAACATATAAGATTCAAATTTTTTTAAAATCTGAATTCAGAAACTTGTTTTGAAGAATTCCTTGTCTGTTGATTTCTAAATAATTCAGGACTGTCAAGTATAAGAACTCTTAATTTTCAGTTCCCCTCATAATACATTAAAATCTTTTTCATTATATGCTGTGAGGATGAGGGCCAACACATGTATAGGTTAAAACTGAGAGCTACTATATATAGATTTTCACTCACTAATGTCTAAGCTTAATTCTCACCTGAATTTACTGCCTTCTCGTGAGGAAATGTGAATAATGCACTTTTTCTGTCTTTTATCATGCGTAGATCCCAAAGCTTGACAGTATTATCAATGGATGCAGTTACAAGTAGTCTATAGGTCTAGTTAGAGTTTATGACAGATAAGACAAGGACTGTCACAAATTGCTTCAATATTTATTGCAGGTCTGGTTAGACAAAAAGAAAGTCCATTCTTCAAAGATATCCCACACTGAATTTTGCCCAAAAGATTCAGATCTTTAGTTCTTATGTAGATCTTGTTAGAATATTTTAAACTAGGATTGCTATGACTTGCTTCAATATTCCTGTAGGTCTGGGTAGGGTATGGTAAAAAAAAAAGGACTATTATGAGTTTTTATGCATGCAATCCTAGTTTAAAATATTCTAACAAGATCTACATAAGAAGTAAAGCAATTCAAGACATTCCTTGTTTAAATAATTAACATAATCCACCCAGACATACAGAAATACTGAGTTTTATATTGCAAAAAATCAAAAACAGGGTTTCATCCTCCCACGTGTGTACGAAACAAACATCCACATACCTTACCCACACCTTGGGTTTTATCAATGCTGCACAAGTTTCAACCTCAAACACGAAAATGTCCACTAACAAAGGTGATAAGGATAACCCCATAGACAAACCTTTATTCTGTTTGTAAGTATTAGTTACTACTTTAAAATAACTATTTGTTACACACAATCTTGTTAAATTCATAATATCATGTACTTCTAACCATGAAAAAATCTTACAAGCTAGTAATAAAGTTTCAAATAAACTTCACATTACTTCTACAGGTACATTTGTAAATATTGATACTACATCAAAAAGAAACTAGTCTATCACTTTCTATTATGTGCATATTCTTAACCTTTGTACAAATTCAGATGAATTCTTAACTGTGTATGTATACGACTTTTTTAAAAACAATGGGGAGGAACTGTACTCCGATTTTATGTACCTTAGGGAGTGCATAAAACCTAGGTAAATTAAACTGAGACGATATAAGATTTCTTTGGCCATTAACTGGTAAAATGCTGCAGGTTTTCACAACTGTTTTTACTTTATGTATTACATTTGTAGGATTTTTCTTGATTTCAATATAAGAAATATCATTTAAAAGTTGTTTAATGTTATCATTATACACAATTTTATCTAATATGACAATCTGCCCACCTTCATCTGATTTAGAAATAACAATGTTCGTATTATATTTAATAGCACGAAGTTCATTAATTTCATGATTATAAAAGTTTCTTTTAGTGTTTCTGGTATCAGAAGTTAAAATTTTTGCCACTGATGTTCTAACAGTATCCTTTACAATATTATCATTAACTTTCAGTTTTTTAAACTAGTCTCTGCAGCCACTATTAAATCATCTTTCACTGACCTACTGAATTTTAATTTGTTCTGTTGTAATAATTTCCTTTGACACATTTATTATTTTTGGGTTGTTTAACAATTTAGTGTACTTCTCATTTAGTACAACATTATTCATTTTTAAATTATTTTTTGAATTTTTATCATTCTTAATTAAGTTAATCAATTTCTTACTCAAAGTTTTCTTATGTTTCAATCTTACCTTTTCCCACTTCCACCAACTAGATGCTTCAAACTTATTCCACACCAAACACTGTATATTCCTAGCTAATTTTAAATGCACATAGTATAATTTAGCTTCGGTTTTTGCAATTTCACTCCTCTTTTATAATACTTCTAAGAATTTTAAATTGAGTTTGTTTTATAATAAATATTACCCTAATGCTTTTTAAGTTACATTTAACTTTAATACTTTTTCGCGAATTTTAAACATATTATTGATTGGGATAATGTAAAAATTCTTAAACAGTTAGCAGAAAAAGATGAATTAAATATAAGAGAATCTTTAGAAAATTTAAAAACAAAATGAATTTAAATAGAGATTTAGGCCCAGGAGTTACCGAAATAAGTTTTTGGAAACTATTGTTGTAAATGGCTCCATTGTACATATATGCCAATTACACAGGTACCTTAGGTTTATAAGCATTATTTTGTGTACTTATTGATGGATTCTCCTGTAGATGGTGGAAATATTTACACCAAAACATGTAGAGTTTTAAGTTTCTTTTAACTTGTATATTTTCAATCTTTACAAATAAATGATTGTGCAAGTAAAAAAACGTTGATTTTCGTTTTATTATTTTACTTAAGATTTTTGCACAAGAGCTGTCTGTTTTACGTATTGAGTTAAAATATATGCTGAATCTTTCAACCTGTGAACATCGAAACATTAGTACTACGCACAAACACTTTCGAGCTCTGTTTAATATTTTGATTAAATCTAAAGATGCATTCTCTATTAAAATCACTTTTGAAGCAAACAATTGGTGCTGCCACATAGTTTTCAGGAATATAAGTAACAAAAATGTATAAAATTTGCACCACATTATCATATCTCAAACTACAGTAATGAGCTTGATTACCCTTGGAAAATGCTGTCCACTACAAAATTCACCAATTCTCATCTACTGATGCCTCTGACCTGGCTTTCTCTTCATTTATTCCATCAACAGATAATTTTGATGGAAAGGACAGACAAATAAACACATTACTACAACCAACTCTCATCACATTCTGATAAACTTACTAAAGCAACATTTGTTATTAATAATGAATCACAACAAGAGATATTTGAAATTTTAGTATTCTATAAAAAGGAGTATCCAATAACCTTGAATGTTTATCTATACACGTAAAGCATAAAACTCTGTGTGTCTCTCTGTTTGTCCATTATCTAACTACTCTGAGGTCACTGAGCCAATCTCAACCAAACTTTGTGGGATGATAGTTTGGAATAAGGGGCATGTTAATGGGGGTCATAATCCCCTGTTCCCTCTATTATTGATGTTATTGAGTATTTATTATCTTTGACGTAAGTTAATGTTAATTACATTCATAGATGGCACTACATCCTCACATAAAAAAAAAAATAATATATATATATATATATCAAATTTTCTATAAAACACCATACACACACACAAACATATTATATATCTGAAAGAGTGTACTAGCACTCTATATTGAGAAATGCAATGAAAAAATGGCCACCACTATTGCAATAAAGTCAGCTGAAGTTTCTATTTCAACAATCACCATACGGCTTATATGAAGAGCAGTTTCTAAGTTATACCCACTTCCTACTTTGACTCATGACCTTTCAACTTTGGCCCATAAGACACTCCTGTGGCTGAAACACTGTGGAAGAACATTAAGAGCCGGATATTGAAAGCTGGTAACAGAAAGCATCCCTACTGCCACTACTTTGGCTGCTACTTCTTCCTAAAAAAAATCACTGATCATCGCACAGTGTATACCATGTTTTAAGTATATATATATTGGGTTCTTAAAACTCATACAAAACTTTTGATGAGGTAATAATGAATACTGTAACAATATGTTTTGTTAGAAATAAATTGTGAAAATTATAATTTGTGTTCTTTATCATAGCATCCACCTCACATTTTATTAAGTTCATAACTCAGACAAAGGACAAGTACCTCAGCTTGTCTTATATAAATAACATCTTCATATAAATGACTGCTAATATCCTGTAAAAAAAATGACCACACAGTCACTTTGGATATTAGTGTGTTATATGACGGAAATCTTAATATAACAATCACCTAAATTAGTATCTTACATGATAATTAGGCATATAGCAGAAATAAACATACAGGGAAAAAATTTTAGTTGATTATGATATTACTAAATATATTTATTGTAGAACATGAAAAACAATATATTCACAGTACATAAAACAAAGAAAAAGCAACATATAATTTGGCAAAAGATAATTTGTTTCAGGGAAACAAAATCCCATAGCAGATGAAATTATCAGATTACAAAATCTCTTTGATGTAAGTGTCAAAGGAGTAAGACAGCAAAATCTAAAGTAAAAAAAAAGATGAGAAACAAAGTATGTGTACTTATAAGTAAATTGAAATTTTTGCAACATGTACAAATTTAAGTATAATTTTAAATTTCTCCAATGTAAAACATAATATACAGTCTTCCATATATGGAAAAAACAAAAATCTATGTGTAACCTACCATGTTTCCATTAGTATCGAGAAGATATAGACACCCAGAAGTATCACCTACTGCTATAAGCTTCTTTGATTGTAGAACATCAAGGGATGTAAACCACTTTCTAGAAAGGGTGAGAACATGTTACACATCAACTTTTAGAAAATAATTCATCGATTCACTTAATTAGTTTTACAAGTGTTCTAGTGCAATTAACAATATTCTTACAAGCTTATGACTTTTTAGTTGATTTATGTGAATTCTGCCCATACAGACACAAAAGTAAACATTTTCTCACTTGCCTACCAACCCACAACTACAAATTAGCTCCACACAAATAATTCATAATGCACTTCAAATGAATAATTTGTATCACATGATAAGGGAGAGAAGTGTCACCTATACATTAGTTCATAGTGTGTTCTTTAACATTTGACGATCAACTTCAATATATATACAACATTTATATCTTATCCTCCCAACCTCTATGATAAACCAGAAAAGGGACATATTGTATTGAGAAAGTTTCTACCTACCATTTCTGATATTGTTTGATGAAAGACTTACAACTAAATGAAATATACACTGGACTGGAAATATATGGACTGCCTATTGCATTGACATTCAGGGCAGAAAGTTTCCAATTCATTACAGTCTTCTCTGCATAAAGTTTTCCTTAAACAAGAAATTAACTATTGTTTTCATAGAAAATGTATACACTTATCTACTTACTCCCATGTAAAGGTGTCTAGAAAAATCTTGCTGTTTTTTCCATGAAAATCTTGACGCATCACTCGACCCGTGATGGAAGCTGTGAAAATGAAGTTAGGGTTTTCTACATCAAACTTCATAGCACATACTGACCCACCAGGTCCGACCTGTGGAGTTCAAAGGTTTAAATTAGAAGAGATGAAAGACAGATCTAACGGTTCATTTAATTAAAACTTCTGGGAATACAAAGCTCATTATATATATATATGTTGTATGCATGCAACATCAGAGCTAGCTATTTCTGTATGTATACATTATCAAACATAGCTACTTCTTTATGTATACATCAAACCTAGCTGTATAGTTACATACACATCAGACCTGGTTGTTTATGTACAAAACATCAAACCTAGTTGTTTCTTTATGTATACACTATCAGAACTAGCTACAGATATTGACAAGCTAGAATATAAAATAAGAAGGTCTTATCTTTTCTATTTTCTAAGATATTGCTCACGTAAGAAATCAAACACAGTGGAACTCTGCCCACCTCTTTCCATTTTTGGAAATGCTCCCTTATATACACTTACTTCTATATATGTCATGAATAACCAATCAGAATCTCAGAATGTCACCCCTAATGGCTTTCTCAGCATTTCTAACGTTCCTTCTGCCATTTCTTTTTTTTTGAACCAAGATTTCAAGGTGGTAGGTTGTGTCTTTAGTCTGCTCGAAATTTCATATTTTTTAGACCCAAATAAAGCTCAGTTACTAAACTTGTTAAATTACAGTAGAATTCTATAGTATTGATGTAGTAATTTATGATTTTTTAGTTATTCAAATGTATATATAAAACCTAAAAAAATATATTTTGTTTTATATCCTGCATATGCATAACTTTAAAGGCTTAGCAGCCTACGTTAAGCAGCAACTGAGTACAAAGGATCATAACTAGAAGAGATAATTGTTTGCTTTACTTCTTTCTTTACTGTTCTATGTTTTAAGGAAAATAAATTTAAGAACTTATTTC